TAGTTATTATTGTCTTTCTTTCGTTTACTTGATTTACTTTTAATCAATTGTTGTCTTACTTTTTCCCCACAGCATGCCTCCCCCTCCCACAGCATGCCTCCCCCTCCCCACAGTAATGCACAGGTTTATGTGGTAGTCTGGTCTAGCCTCGTCACTACTTTACCGAGGTTAGGCTAGGCACTTACCAGCACATGGGGTCGGTTGTGCTGATACTACACTCTGTGCTCTTTTTCATAGATCCAGGTACCAGAGCAGTATTCGGTGTGCAGCCTTCAGTCCACCGAGACACCGAGGTAGCCTTGCAGGCGTCCGCAGGCCCGGCGTCTCCTCTATCTTATATTTCAGTCTGTTATCTCATGTTTTCGAGACAAACAGTGTTATATTTCTTTCAAACGATTGTATTTAGTACTCTTAGTAGTCCGTGGATGTTGTGACACCAGTTCTTGGGTAGAGGCATATGATGATTTTCGCATTATTTTTCAGCTTATTTAATTTAAGTCTTCCGCTTTAATTTTATTTTTCCGCTGTTATTTAAATATTCAACGCTCGTTGTTATGATTAATAAAAGGATTTAAAATAAAGGAGTTAGGAGTTTATGAATTGTGGCTTGCCTAGCTTTTACGAGTAGGCGCCATCACGACCCCCGAGGGTGGAAAATCCGGGTCGTGACAGATAAATTCGATGGCGGCTCTTTATGGCCAATAATGAGCAATAAATGAAGAACAATAATAGAACACAATAAATGTAAGTAGTGGAATCAAGAGAATCTGTTAAGCTAGAAAGCAAAGAGAATGTTCTTATATATTCAATGTTGTGTATCAGATCCTTTACAAAAGTGACAAGAGTCCCCTTTATATATGAGGGGAAAATCCCAATATGACACATGTATAATTATTACATAAAGTAGCTGGTACAACCACTCAATCAGCCTGGTGCAGGCTGTCACTGTTTGCGCAGACGTTGTCAGAAAATACTGCTCCTAGGGAACTTCCCGCTTACTTGCGATAAGCACCGGTTCGTTCTGCCCCGACACCGGGCATGAAAAGTCCCTGAAGATGTCGAACCCCGGGCTATTCTCCTGGCCCTTCGAGATGAGAGTGCGCAATGCCTCGTCGACCGTAAAATCGGTCTTCCCGATTTTAGCCGTATACACCTGCTGTTCATCAGAATTGTTCCTTAGCTTAAATTGTTCTTATTTTGATTCTCTTACTTAATTGTTCCTACTGCCCTAAGCCGCATTGAGGTCACCTTCTCGAGGTCACTGCTGTTGACAAATATTGGTTTGATTCAGTTCTATCTTTCATCTCTACTTCATATTTCTTGATTATTAATTGGTATTGAATTAAATCACGTATCTTTAAAACTACAGACCAAATTTAATTGTTACTCATAGTTTTCGAGGTAAACACACTGTATAAAATTTAACTCTTAAATCTTGGTCGTAATGTCTGTTTTGCAAGAAAACTCCAAAAAGTACGTGTACGTCGTACCTGTTGATCACTTTAAATTAAACGAGCACGCACTTGGAAACAGTGATCAGAAAAGACAGAGGAAACTAAATCACCCAGTGGCATGCAACTTAAGAGAAAGGAACATAAAATGTGTCATTTTCATATGATTAATTAATAATGCTCAGAGAATTTTTATTTCTCCTTTTTGGAATTGGGAACGCGGGGCAACCAACAGCACCAAAATAGTGCTGATTGACTTTGGCAACTAAGATCCGAAATCAACCACCATTTCTTGGAGCAGCATATAAATCTGCGATGCAAACAAACGAGCCAAGTAATTAGTTAGATAAAGAAAAAGAAAAAACAAAATAGATGCTTCCTCTCCTAAAATCTTTCTGGTGATTTCAACTCAATTCGACCGAAAATTGGCTCAAATTGGTCCTTGATCAGAAAATTAGTGTTTGATAAAAGGAAACGAAACAAATTCATGATTCGTGTTAAAGATATTGTGTTCCTTTGAACCGGTTAATTATATTATATGTTACATCTGCCATTGCTTAAAAATTTGGATGGAGTAAAACATAATCAACCAAAAAGAACTAGAATCCAAGGAAATTATCTTGGTGGCTTACCAACACGTTTGTTTTAGATATGTTGACAAAAGTCTTACTGTTTTTGAAATTGACACTAGCATTACCTAATTCTTTGTTTAATACAATTTGATGAGACAAACATGGTCTGCTAGGCCACCTCTCTATATCTTTTGCCGTGTTGCCTGGAGCTTGTTTTATAATAGTTGACCTCTACAATCTGACTTCCATGCAATTATAAAGACCATCACATTTCTCAAAACTGTGCATTTTCCAATTTTCTCATTCGTTAAGAAATTACTTGACTTTCAGTCTTCCATTTAATTTGAAAAATGGGGAGATATCCATGCTGCAAATTAGACAATGATTTGAAGAAGGGGCCGTGGACAGCTGAAGAAGATGAAAAACTAATGGAATATATTCAAGAAAATGGTCATGGAAACTGGCAATTGGTTCCCAAAAGAGCAGGCTTAAACAGGTGTGGGAAGAGTTGTAGACTAAGGTGGACTAATTATCTAAGGCCTGATATTAAAAGAGGAGGTTTCTCAGAGGAGGAACAACAGATGATCATCAACTTTCATTCTGTCCTTGGAAACAAGTAACAATTAATTAATACTCCAAGTTTCCTTTCTTCTTCGTATATATATTTTTCATGTTTTTTGTCCATTGTTGGTGCCTTTATAGAGTTTAACTTCTTTACGCTAACAAACTAAGTGTAAAAGAATCTTTGCACTAACAGATCACAATTACAGATAACTTCCATAAAAAGTGCAACTAGTAACCTAAAAGTAAGATGTAAAGATTCTTTAAATTGACGGTCTATAGAAATAAATCAACCTTTCTAAAGTAGACTTTTTTTTTTTTTTTTTTTTTTGTTTCTGCATTAACATTATTATATATTTCCTTGTAGATGGTCAAGAATTGCATCTCATCTTCCGGGAAGGACTGATAATGAAATCAAGAATTTTTGGAATACACAACTGAAGAAAAAGCTTCTCAAATCTGGAATTGATCCAGTAACACATCAACCAATAACTGATCCCACTCTGCTTCTTAGTCTTTCTAATTTGATAAATCCTTTAAAATCTGCTCTTAGGTTACAAGCAGAACTGACTGAAATGGCCAAAATCCATCTCATTCAAAACATAATTCAAGTCCTAAACGCTCCTCCATTTCCAGCATTACAAGAAAACTTACCGATGCAACAATTATACAACAATGTTTCACCATATGACATTCTTACTAATGTGACAAGTAACATAGATGAGCCTTCTCCAAATTCGAATTCCTTGGACGGATTTGGTAAAGTGTTCAATGTTGATTCAGATTATTCACATCCGTCATTAGTCCCAGCTACACATGAGAAATCACCGTTTGACCAGAATATTGATTTTCCCAATTATGGTTTCTCAGATGCATGG